CTCCATGTTTGTTAATCTGTTATTTATTTCATCATTGCTGAGTCGTTCATCGAAACAAGTATATTCGTAGTAGAAAGTACAAGTTTTGGGAGTTCCGTATTTCTCAAACATTTTCAATTTCCCAAATAATAACTCCTTCTTCTGGTGTGAATTATCCACATGTCTCGCTTTATCATTTCCTGAAGATTTTTCGGTATCTCTTGGTTGTTTCTTAGCATGGTTCTCTAGGCTGCTTTCTGTCCCACGTAATTGTTTATGCTTCCTCCTTTCTTTGTATGGTTGTTTTTTAGGTCCCTCCAATTTCATTCCTTCAAGTTCTTTCTGCTTCTTGTTCGTCTTGTATTCCTGTTCTTTAGGTTTTTCCAATTTCCTCCCATGTAGCTTCTCTTGCTTCTTAGCTTCTTCTAATTTCACCTTTCTCTTCTTATCGTTATTAGGTATCTGGTAACATGATTCTTGCAAGGTGTTCGAATCCATTTTAGGATCCTTGAGATTAGTTCCGACGGAATCTTCCCTTTTTTTCACTTGATCAGTTGATTTTGCAGCTCCTTGTTGGGTTGGTTTTCCAATCCCGTCTTCGGTGGTTTCCACAGCCCCGTTTTGGCTGGTTTCCTCATCCTGTTGCTCCGTGGCTTCCTCATGTTCCACTCCCTCGGTTTCCCCAGTGTCCCCCTCTTCGATGGTCTCCTCATCCTGCTGTTCTGTGCCTCTCTCATGTCCCACTTCGGCCCTTTCCGCAGTGTCCCCCTCTTCGATATTGTCCTCCTCGGGCTGTTCTGCTGCTTGCTCATGTCCCACTCCGGCCCTCCCTCCTGTGTCCCCCTCTTCGATGGTGTCCTCCTCCTGCTGTCTTCTGGCTTCCTCATGTCGGTTTTCGGCCCTCTCTCCACTGTCCCCCTGCTTGATGGTCTCTTTATCCTGGTGTTCTCCGGCTTCTTCCTGTCCCACTGCGCCCCCCCCAGTGTACCCCTCTTCGATGGTCTCCTCCTGCTGCCCTTTGGCTTCTTCATGTCCCACTTCAGCCGTCTTCCCATTGTCCCCCTCTTCGATGGTCTCCTCATCCTGCTGTTCTGTGGCTTCCTCATGTCCCCCTCCGGTCCTTTCCCCAGTGTCCCCTCCTTCGATGGTGTCCTCCTCCTGCTGTCCTGTGCCTTTCTCATGTCCCACTCCGGCCTTCTGCCCAGTGTTCCCCTCTTCGATGATCTCCTCATCCTGCTGTTGTGTGGCTTCCTCATGTCCCACTCCGGCCCCCTCCCCACTGTCCCCCTGCTTGATGGTCTCCTTATCGTGGCCTCTTGTTGCCTCCTCAGGTCCCACTCCGGTTCTTTCCCCAGTGTCCCCCTTTTCGATTGTTTCTTCCACTTCGGCTTTGATGGTTTCTTCCACCTCGTCTTCGATGGTTTCCTCCTCCTGATCCTCGATGCTCTCTTCATCCTCCTTTCCTGTGGCTTCCTCATCTCCGACTCCGGCGGTTTCCCCGTCGTCCTCAACCTCCTCACTTTCCGGCAATCCCATATTTTCTAATGAAAAGTTATCTCTTGGTTCAGTTTTTTCCTCTTCCGCCGCTAAATTTCTAGCTACCTCGTTATTTAGTCGTAAATTCACAAGAGGATTTCGTCCCCTGCCGTCATCCCTATACTACACTCAGGGGCAAAATAATAATAAAAGCAATGAAAAGAAACAAAAAAAAAGGGGAAAAAAAAGAAAAGATAGGCGATATGCATGCCACCTTAGATACGGTGGGTACGCTACCTATGCCAAAGAGGGACAAAGACCTCCCATATTGTGACCACATTACATATAACCAATATGACTCATTCGACCACAGCCAAGAGGGTTTTTAGTGCCCCACAAGCACAGCACATAATAAATACTCATATACACAGATGCGTCTCTTTATGCTCACAGCCAGTAGGGCCCGTGCGATTTGCAGTTCCATGTTTCTATATTAACATTAGCATCCCCATCCTTTTCCAGTACTCACCTTGAAAAAGAGATAGGCACAAGCAACAAGAAAGGTAGTGACCCTCTTGGAAAAGTAAGATCCTCGTGTTTTCTTTGCATTGGTTTTACATCTCTTACAATCTACTGAAGCTGCCTTGCCACTGTGGCCCCCACAGGTGTTGGCTAAAATAATTCTCTGTAAAGCACAGCTCATACTGTTTGTATGTGCCATATGCAATTATGCATCCCATATATATAGACAAAGGCAGGAAAGAACAAGGTATAAATCCGACTGCATTCCTCTCCCTACAGATAACGTTCTTAGTAGTATATAGAAAAGATATATATGTTTCTCCTATATAAAACTTACAGCTTCTACAAAGGGAAAGACAAACTGAAGACAATGATGCTGATATACCTATGCATATCTATATATATATCTTCTTACATAAGCCAATAATGGAGGTAGTATTATTTATTTTTCTGATATGAAACAGTAGAATTCTCAAAAGTGCTCGATTAAAGCATACAGATACATTCTTTCTAAAGTATAAATCGAAATTATAGCAACTATCTAAAAACTGACTAAAGAAAGATTAAGAACATTTGAAAAAATCTTCAATACTTAAAGAAACAAACACTACAGGTATCATATATTAATCGCTACCCGTTTTTTTTTTTTTTTTTTTTTTTCTTTTTTCTTACAACTTAGATTTTTATTATAAAAAAGAGACTAAATATTCTACTCTAAACGTTTCGTTCAATCGGTAAACGCGAAAAGAAAAAATACGAAAAAATTAAAAAAAATAACCTGAATCTCTCGATTAATCTGTACAGATATAAAAACCTCTTTTTCTATTATTCTATATATAACATGGGCTTAATTTAAAAGCTATGTCCCATTTATCCATATCCATCTAAAGAAAGTAGTACTTCCATGAATAACGGACGAAATAGGAGGAATGAGCGCGTTGAAGTTACGATAGAATTAAAAAAAAATTCCGAAAAAACAACACGGACAGTTTACATTATTCTGCGGTTTAAAGGAGGGACCGTCCGAATTTGATTATGCCTGATTTTTCCAATATAGCTAGAAAAAAAGAGACGCATAAAGGAGGCTCCTTATGATTACACTGTTCTTCCCAATAACATCTTACTTCTCTGAAACACGCGCACGCTCACTGGACATCTCAAATGTACTGGAACTGGTAAGGAGCATATATGCTTATACATGCATTCGTCTGGTTAAAAGTTGAGTAGTGAAATTTTCTCCCCAATACGAAAACACCAATCTTCTTCGTCACAAGTACCTAAAGCCTATGTTTTGCAGAGTAGCGTAATTATGATAATGTAAAGGTTTCTATTCTTCCCATTTTTATGAGATTTTCTGTAGCATTTGTATCTGACGTCATATTTTTAATTCTATCGTACGCACTAGAATATGCATGAACAAAGGGACTAGATCCACGAGCACTCATTCTTGGGATGTTTTTCTGATATTCTCATTCCTTCAACATCATGTCCTTCATATATTAAGACTTCCCTAAGCATGGACTACGAGAAACATGAGATAGAGTGCTTAGATGCTTCCTTTTGGGAAGGCATCTCTTGGTAGGTCCAGAAAAGGGAATGGCCAGCCTCCTCGGGTGTTACTTACATGTACATAAATATGTATATGCATTCCATCCATATTTTTTCATCATTGACCCTGCTCCTCTCCCTGCAATTTGCACTGCACCTTGCCACACTCTTGTGTCGCCCTTCATTGTCATCGCCAATTCCATTTCCTTCTCTGTCGAAATGAGCTTTCCACAATAAGCCAAGAAACCGTCCAAGCAAAGACATGATTTCTTGTCATACATGAAGCTAATGTACCTTCAACAACTTATGCTAATTTGTCCCTAATATTTATGTATATATATTTCCCCTTCTGCATCTATTTTTCTATTTTTTCTAAAGACGCCTGGCATGCTGCAGTACATGCATTTAATACATAACATAGTGCATCACTCCTATTACATGTGGAATTAAGAATACTGCTAAGATTCCACCTCTCTGCAAGACGGCTTTGAGAAATAATCTTCTTTTGCAAACGAAAATAATTGTGCCGTATTATATTATACTCACTGTGATCACTACGTTTCTTCCTGAAAGAAATTAAAATGCACCAAAAAAAAAAGAAAAACGATATATATTTCTTCATTCAATTTTTCCCTTTCCCCGGATGCTAGAAAATTTTGACATAAAAATACCATACATTACTGTTCTATATCCTTTCTTCCGTATTTTCTTTTGGCGGCAGAAAAATATATTGTCTTCCTCTCTTTTTCCATTCCACCTTTACCGCGACTTCCAAGCACAATAATCTTAAGAAGTCAATAAAACACATACATTACAAACATTGTTGTTACGGAATAATTTCCTGTTCTTATGCATCATATTTTGAAAACATGAATCTCACTATATAACGTCCTATCATATATATATATATAATTTCCCTTTTATCACACGTACCTAATAGAATATAAAACTAATTAATACCTGCGTAATTTCGAAAACATATAAATTACACTTTTATGAAAATTTATATTATCATAATAGAATTATAATAATTTCCGAAGTGAAGTAATAATCTATTGCAAATAGTTTATATGTGATAAAAGCGGAATCCGAGCATGTACACTATATTTTCCTTTAGAATGATTCC